ATAAACATTAGAAAGGTTATGTAGAAGACAAACATTAGGGAAATTGCCGGAAAAACAAAATGGCGGCCGGGCTTACCATCTTAGAGAGGAGTAGGTGAGGGGGAATGTGGGGGTCACAGGATCGAAAAAGGGTGAGATCTCATGACGTCATAGCATGTGCAATTATCGTCGTAAGCACCAGAAAAGAAAATGGCGGTCGGGCTTAATCTCTTAGAGAGAAGTGGGGGGAAAATGTGAGGGTCACAGGATCGAAAAGGAGTGTGACGTCATACAAGGCGTAAACTTCGTAAGTTCCTTAAAATAAGGTGGCGGTCGGGCACATTCAACCTCTTAGTGAGGAGTGGGGGGAAATTGAGAGGGTTACAGGATCGAAAAGGGGGACCTCATAGAAGGTGCAAACCTCGTAAGTGCCTGTAAACAAGAAGGCGGCCGGCCACACTCAGTCTCTTAGAGAGGGGTGGGAAATATGAGGGTCACAGGATAGAAAAGGGGCGTGAATGGTGGTCACGTGACTAAATTTGTCCGTAATCCGGTGGTTAAAGCAGAGGAGTAAAATTGGGCGTGGCTTAGTGGTCACATGACTGGCCACGGGGTGGTTAAGGCTGGTTGGAGGTCCTAAAAGGCAGCATCCCAAACATCCTGCTTTGCTACTAAGGGGTCATCATGTGGTTACTTTAATCATTAAATATTTAATTTTATATCTATAAACTCTTGTTAGATTTTTAAATATTCACATATTTAAGAAATTAACTATACTTCTCGCGCTGGCTCATTACCGCATATGGTGAGCGTCCCACGGGTGGCGGATGCGAGGATGGTCGTTGAAAATTCCTTGGAAGTTCCTCCCGGCTAAGTCCGATGAACTCGCTGACCAACAATGAGAGGGGCCCTCCAGACTTGCTGGAGGCAGGGGCCCACCAGACTTGCTGGAGGGTGTGACGTAGGATTGAACGCCCTACTCACATATCTTTAGTTCACCATATATCACAAATAGTCATGGATCTCCCTAATGTAAAACGCTCATTATCCGGAGGTAAACTAGTCCCCTGTTCGGGTCTCCAGGTGAGGACTGCTTTAGGGGATTCATGGCGCAAGTTGAAAAATACTGATTTGAATATTGGTACGTGGAACGTAAGGAGTTTAAACATAGCAGGGAGATTTAAATCGTTCGCGAATGAGGTTAATGGGTACAATTTGGATGTCGTGGCTCTGCAAGAGGTTCGCTGGCCAGGGGAGGGATCGTTGAGGGAATGAAAGTACACTATTTGGTACGAAGGAAGCGGGAATCATTGTTTAGGTACCGGTTTTATAATTAGGAATAGATTACTATCCGCTTTGAGGAACGTACAATTCTTTAGTGATAGAATTTAGGTAGCGATATTTCAGGGACGTTGGTTTAAAATCGAGTTCATAACCATACATTGTCAAACCGGAAACAGTGACGATGAAGTCAAATGCGAATTTTACAATAAACTCGAATGGGTTTATGATAAACTACCGCGAAACTCCATGAAAATAATTGTAGGTGACGCAAACGCAAATGTGGGGAGGGAAGAAGTTTATGTTCCGACGATTGTTAAAGAAAGTTCGCACGAATATATAGTAATGATAATGGGATCCGTCTGATAAACTTTGCCTTCTCGAAAAACCTGATAATTAAAAGTACTACGTTTAAACGTAAGGGTATTCATAAATATACCTGGACATCACCGGATTCGCAAACACGAAATCAAATCGATCATGTCTTGATACAACATAGCTGGCAAAGCAGTATAATTAATGTGCGGTCGTAACGCGGAGCAGAATCGTGGGTCGTGAATTAGTAATAGCAAAACTTCGACAAAAACTTAATATACTGGTTTCGATTTCGAGAATTTTAATTTGGAAAAATTAAAAAATCCATCAATTAGAACTCAATTTGAGCTAGATGTTAAGAATAGGTTTGAAGCTCTAGAACCTTCTGACGAGGACCACGAGGATATTGACAAGTTATGGGTAGAGATCAGGGATAATATTAAAGCGGTCGTTAACTCGTGTCTAGAAAAAAAGGAAAATAAGAATAACAAACCGTGGTTTGATGAAGATTGTTTAAACATATATAAACAAAGAAAAGCCGTTAAATTAAAAGCTCTAAATAATCCTAGCGAAGACAATCTTGAATACTTCCGAACCTCAAAGAATGAAACAACAAAATTGCTCAGAAATTAAAAAAGGGAGTATCTTAAAAATAAAATAATTCAAATAGGAACTAATAGAATTGAAAATAACGTAAGAGACATGTACACAGACATAAACATATCACGTAAATGTTTAGGGCTCGTCACGTCTGGAATTAGGGATGAAAATAACAATATTCTGACCGATCCGGTAGACATATTAAATTAGTTTAAGAGCCACTTTGACAGTATTTTAAATACGGGAAATTATAATCTATGTCCTCCTTTTGAGTACCAGAGTGCGGAACTGTTATTAGAAGATCCGAGTAAAGAGGAAGAACCAAGCATCTATCGGAAAATTAAAATCTTATAAAGCGAGAACCGATAATATTCCTTGTGAACTAATTAAGGCATGCGGAGAAGCTGGAGCTCCTAAAATACATCTGTTGGTTAAAACGATCTGGGTGAATGAGAAATTATCTGAAGAATGGAAAGAATCTATTCTTATTCCGATTTACAAAAAGGATCCGAGGACGGATTGTAGTAATTATCGAGGAATTTCACTCCTTCCGGTATGTTATAAAATATTCAGTTTAATCTTAACAAGTCGATCCACAGAATACGCCGAGGAAATTATCGGTGACTAGCAATGCGGATTTAGACGGAATCGTTCGACTATTGATTAAATATTTTCTTTACGGCAAGTATTGGAGAAAAAATTAGAGTACAACGGTGTTGTTTACTATCTGTATATTTCAAAAAGGCTTACGATTCTATTGACCGCCAGAAACTGTATAATATTCTTATTGAGCAGGGGATTCCAAAAGAATTAGTAAATTTAGTCAGGATGTGCTTGACGGAAACAATCAATAAAGTTAGAATCGGGAATAATTTATCCGAAAAGTTTGAGGTTCGTTCGGGTTTAAAACAAGGCGGTTCCCTTTCGGCTGTCCTGATCAATTTGGCATTAGAACATGCCATTAAGGAGGTGATGGGTAACGAAAAAGGGTTGGATCTGGGTGGAACAACACCCGTGCTTGGCTATGCGGATGATCTGGTCCTGCTAAGCAAAGACACGGAAACTATAAAACTAAATACGACAACGTTAATGAAAGTCGGTAAAGTACTAGGGCTCGAAATAAACACGGATAAGACAGAATATATGGTTAGTTGCAAAAATGGTGATATAGCTGGTAATATTGATATAGAAGGTAACATGTTTTAACCGGTAGAGAAGTTTAAGTATCTAGGGTCTATGATAACTAGAAAGAACGAAATTGAAAGGGAGATTAAGGTTAGGATGAATGCGAGAAATGCTTGTTATTTTTCTAAGACAAAACTACTTAGCTCGCGCATCTTGTCCCGGAATTTAAAGACTAGAATCTATAAAACCATTATCCTACCTACAGTTCTCTATGGATGCGAAACGTGGCCGCTGACATTAAGGGATGTGCAACGTCTTAAGGTTTTTGAAAATAAAGTATTGCGTAGAATATTCGGACCAAAAACAGATGAGTTAACCGGAGAGTTCAGAAGGTTGCACAACGCTGAGTTGCGTGAACTGTATCCAGTTAATATAATTGAGGTGATTACATCGCGGAGAATCAAATGGGCTTGTAAAGTTGTAGGGTTTAATAATGAAATAATTCCTAAAAGGTTGATATTTGCTGTACCGAATGGTAAACGTCCAATCTGAAGGGACTGAGTTTGGACGGTGGAAGGAGGTGTGTAATAAGCTATTGGTGGTGTCGGCATCGAACCTCCGGGTTCGCTAAGCCTTTTATTATTATTATTTTCGAATTTCACGATTTCTTGGCTTTTGCCAGAAATATTCACCTACCCGGACCAAGGTCAAAGGTTAGGCTCAAAAGTTAAACTATGTTTAAGAACTTCCTGACGATGTTCGCTGTGCCTAAGAGAACTGCTTTTTGCCCCTTTTCCAACACTTTTTCTAGCTGTTTCAGATTTTCGAAAGAGGGAATGGTATCGTCTGGGATGAGGCCATTGACGGAAATTACAATTGGATATACCTGGACTTGATTCAGTTTGTAAAGTTGCCGAAGCTCTTGGCACAAGTCTTGATATTTCCTAATCTTTTCAGAAATAGTCTTTCCAATATTATCATCGGTTGGGACCGCTATATCAATGACATACCCTCTTTGTTTCTTCCAATCAATTAATACAATGTCCAGTTCGTTATTTACTACCGTGTGATCTGTAATTATAGATCGATCTAAATATATTGTTTTATTTTATTTTGACAGAATTGTTATTATTATTTCTGTAAAACTACTGAATTGAAATTGAAAACTCTTCTTATCTGCAGCATTTCATGTAAAACAATTATGATGATTTAAAAAAGTGCATATCTTGCTTCCAAATCAATCCTCAAAATAAACTCCCTTTTATTGGTGATTTATCTGAGGCAAGAGTTGTTCCTGCTCCTACATTTTTTCGTACTGGCTGTGATTTTCCTGGGCCATTTTTTGTTCAATCCTCTGTCTTGTGTGAAGCTCCTAGAATTATGTGCTACTTTGTTGTATTCATGGAATCATTTGTATGTGTTCCTTACAGTCAAAATATGAAGGTCAGTGTGTAAGGTCATGTTGCTAACGTACCAAGGTGCTTTTGTAATTGTTCTAAATAATTTTGCTTGAAAGATTTGAAGTTGTTTATGTGAGCTATTCCAAATATCTGTGATGTGTAAGTTCAAATAGGTTTTAGAAAGTAATTGAAACATATATAAATAATGATATCAATTTCAGAAAAATGAAAAGAAAACCTGAACTGTGGCATCATTGCTAATTATTAACATTTATATTTATACTACATAACTAGACTTACTCGCATTGTGACACATTAAAGATGTTAAAAAAGGTTGAAACGGAATGACATCTACTAATAGCTTGTTGATCTGTAAAAGAGCAATTGGAGAAGGGCGGCAATATAATATTTCTTGAAGGATATCAAATAAAAAGTTTCTGAAAAAAAATAGAAAGGATATTATTAATAAATAAATAAATAATTTTTTATCGACTAATTAATCATAGATTAAAACTGGACCACTGTGATTCCTAATAAAATTAGAAAAATAATTGAAGTTTTACCAAATTGTATTAATTTACAATACAAAAATAATAATTTAATATTACAGTATTTTCAATTTGGCCAGTTTCTATAAGTATATATCATAGCTATGGGGTACAACAGGACTAGAAAGAAAATTTTCTCCAGTTTTTGCGGAATGATTAAGCCTCAGTGCCTTACCCACTGCTTGTGAATTATCAGTCCTTGTCCCTACCAGCACCTACAACTACCTCCAAGTAAAAGCCAAGTAAAAGATGATCGCCAGGGAATCCTAAGAGACTCTCAGACAACAGAGGGAGGAGTTCATGATGTATGTCTATTCAATAATTGTGGTGGAACCGTTAAGGTATGTACAGACCTGGATACTAAATGTTGGGCAACATGTTGATATCCTGTTGTCTGCATGTATTCCGTCATATGATGGCGGGTTACAGGGCAACATCAGGTGGGGGGGGGGGGTTATGGCATCAAAGAAATTTTTTGCTTGTTACTTTTATCCCTATTAAACAATTCAAATGAAAAACATAGCTTGGTGTATATGGTATTGTATCAACAAGTGGGCAACAAACTAGTAAAATTTAAGTAGGTAGGTAATTATTGTAAAAGTAGTGACCTACGTATAGAATAAAGGAGGTTAAATTAAAAAATAATAATAATACATTTTTTTTTTTAATTTAACTTTTTTTTTACAATTAAATTATTGCATTAATATTTGTTCGTTAATAAAACCAATATAATGTACCAAAAATGTTATTATATCACTATAACTAAGGCATTTATGTGTACTGAATGGTGTGGTAGAGGCCTGTAAGCACCCACGCCAGTACCACTTTTCTGCCGCATAAGTGCATTTTCTACGGAACTGCTTAAATTTTTTAAAAAAATAATCAGCATTTTAGAAAGAGAAATATATTCTCCAGATGTTTTATTTCAGCACGTTTTGCGTTATTGTAGGCCGTTTAATTACAAACGACGCTTGATTTGTAACTTGAAAATTTTTTTGTTAAAAAAATTGACTTTACTGGAGTTGTTTATAGCCTAAGCCAATTATTTTTTAATATTTCTTCATGTTTTATTATTCTACGACTATTCAGCTTTAATAAAAGACCAACTATGAGGAAATTAAACCAAATGCTGATTCTCAGTGACCAAAAAACTAACTAAAGTCAAAGTCGTCAATCCGCCATGTTTGGACGCCATTTTGGGACAGTGCATTCACTTTTTTTTGTGGGAACATTGGCTTTTTTTTTAATAAATAGTTACAAGGAACATAACGATATGCAATTTATAGGGATGTGGGGGGGGAGGGAGTGCATGGTAAGGGGGTCTGGCCCACCGGGTAATACTCTTACAACACTGATCCAATGTAGTTTACCGGATACCTTGCTCTACTCCTAATTGCAATAGCTCCTATATTGGTGAAACCAAAAACTATCTCAAAACCCGCATTTCCCAACAAAAAACGTCCATAACTTCCCGGAATCCTTCCACCTCCTAACTATCAGAACATGCTCTAACCCTCAACCACTCATTTGATTTTGAGAAAACCTTCTCCTTTCCCTGGTCCCTAACCATGAAAAAAGACTCATTTCCGAATCTATCCACATTCACATGGAACAGAATCCCGTTAATCACAAAGTAGACAAAAACTGTATTTCTCTTACATATAGACACATTTTAAGTCTTTTAAGTGAAAAATAACTTAAATATTCTATTCTATTATTTTCATCTACTCTCAATTTTTATTAATTAATTCTTTTAATTGTTCATTATTCTAAATATTCCTTCTTTGTATGATCTCTCTTCTATTTTATTCTAAATTTATATTTACACTCTACACCAATGTATGATCATCCTTTTTCCCACTTTGTATTAATTTTACTTATTAACCATGTCTCATTATCTAATATTCAAATGCAATTTTCTTACATATGTACAACCAAATATAATTATAAGTATTAATTTTTTTCCCTCACTATACTTTTAAGTTAGCTCTGCAATGTATGTATGTTAATGAAGTTATTTCTATATTTATATTTTACTTTTGCCAATTTTGGGTTTATTCACACAGTACTCTGATCTAGAATCATGAAATACCTCTCACATCTCTCAACTCTATTTTATATGTATATTTATAATTTAATATTTCATAGATATAGTATTTTTCCATTGTATCCATCCATATCTTAACACATGTTAACTTCCCTTATACCTGCCATCCTTACCGCTGCCTTTCCAGTTCTAAGTGAAACTCCTAGATGAACACACCTGTAAGTCTCTAATTTTATTTCTCTCCTGTAGATTTTGCAGAAGTATATTCACATTTTCATTTATTATATATTACACTACAACAATTGTTAGCATCTATTTACTTTAGTTTAGGATCTTGTTACTCAGCTTACTTAGTCCATATTTTATTGTACTTACTGTTTATAATTTTAATAAGCTTATTCACATTGTTTATAAATTATGTCTAAATATTATGTAATTGCTCTATCTTTTTGTATCTTGTCCGTTCGAGCCCTGATGAAGACCTGCAAAGTCGGGTCGAAACGTTGCCTTTCAATAAAATAGTTTTACCACTATTTAGCCTATTTATGACCGCAACCCCAGACCATCTCCTTCCTTTAAAAAGCTTTAAAAAAAACAAAACAAAAAAACATACTTTGCTCGCGTCCGTACGTTGCACACGTGCCCTCCGGTTATAACTAAATTAGCAATATTGTCGCCGCAAAGACAGTTCAACAACATAGAATCCAAAAAAATATGAATCTATCAAAATTAAGGAAACCAAAAGACCAAGTCAACATACTGCTTAAGGCTATGTTCTGGAACGCTGGTGGCCTAACTGCTGACAAATTCACAGAATGGAAGACAATTATTACAAAGGAGGATGCTGATTTATATGGGATCGTAGAAGCCGGCTCATCCACTGAAAATATCCAGTTTTACCAATTACCGGGATATCAAACTTATAAACTGCAGAGATCCAGGCAGGTTGCATCAGGAATAATTGTCGCTGCTAAATCATCTCCCAAGGTAACCTTTTCAATTAAAAAGAAGATGGAAGAGAATGATAAATTGGAGGCTGTAAAGTTAGATGTTTGGAAAAATAAAATCCAGAGGAGGTTTTATGTAATGTACAACCCCCCAATGAATAGACCAGACCCATTCTGGCTTGAAGCTCAGTGGGGATCCCAAGACGTTTTATATGGTGATATTAATGCCCCATCCACTAGATGGGATTATAACCAAACATCAGCCGTTTGTAGGATTTTTGGGGATTTCATTGACTCGAACCCAGTAGAAATTATTAGAAGAGAAGACAACAGCCCAACGTTTATTTCATACCCGGGCAATACTAGCAATTCTGACTAACACAAATTTAAAAAATGACATTCACTGTTCTATGGAACATGCGCCAGGAGAATTAGGATACAAGATATTAAAAATAATAAGTAGGACCCATAGGACTAGTGGATTCTCTGAACCTCGAATAGCCAAATGGAACTTGAAAAAAGCTATTGGAAATTATTTTCCAAGATATGTGATTTAAAGTTAAATGAGCATTTAATACAAGGTAATGTTGATGTTATTAATAAAAAAATATGTGAAACAATCTTAAAATGTGCCATAAAAACTATTTCTAGAGGTTGGGTTAAGAAATATTCTCCTTTCTGGAATGCTCATATGCAGAGATTGAAGGAGGATAGAAATGCCCCCCGAGAAATATATCAAAACAGCGGACAGGAGAGTGATAAAACACGTCTGAAAGCTACAGGAGCTTTACTAAGAAGGGAAATAATTGAGGCTAAAAGAAGTTCCTACAGACAAATCTTGGAAAAGCTAGATTTCAGGAAAGATGGAGTCCAAGCTCACCGTTTCTTTCTAAAATCAACAAGAACACAGAAACTAAGAAGAACAATCCTTTTGTAACGGTGTCCGGAAAAATTTTTACATCGGATTTGGCTATTGCCAAGTACTTCTGTTCATATTACTCTAAGGCTAGTAATACCATACAAGACCCAATCATAAAGTGGAATTTAAAGAATCTACAACCTGTTTCAACGAATCAGTAACTTCAATTTTTTGTTCCCCATTCACTGCTACTGAGATAAATTCAGCTATTGAAAAGATGCCATGTAAAAAAAGCGCAGGACCAGATAATATCCTTCCTGAATTTATAAAACATCTAGGGGAGTCTGCGAGGGCTATTCTCCTGCGGTTTATGAACAAGATCTGGAGAAAAGGCTTGCCAAGTGCATGGCGGAAGACTGAAATAATCCCTATTCCTAAGAAAGGCAAGACTCCAAACAAACCAGAACACTGTAAACCAATCACCCTCACCAGCATGCTCTCAAAATTGTTTGAACGACTAGTATTGTCTCGACTTGAGAATTTCTTGGAAATTGAGCGAGCTATCTCTGACAAACAAGGAGGATTTAGAAAACACAGGAACACGGTGGAGCACATGGCATATAAAATGGTTTCCACAGAAAGCAAAGTACATTGGCAATTTTCGTAGACTTTAAAGCAGCATTTGATAAAGTCTGGAGAGAAATGCTGTTACTAAAAATTAGAAATATGGGTGTGGCAGGTAATATGTTCAAATGCATTTATTCTTTTTTGGCCCAGAGACATATCCGGGTAAAATATAATGGTGTAGTTTCACCTTATAAACAGACAAGAAGAAGAGCCCCCCAGGGTGCAGTTTTAAGTCCAATTTTGTTTAACATGATGATTAACGATGTAACTGAAATACTAGAAGCTATTTCCGGAGTTCAAACACTTCTCATGCAGACGACTTAGTTATCTGGGCTACTAGCAGCTACATGAAAGCTATTGAGTGCTGCTTAAATACTGTATTAATATCATTACATAAATGGACGGTGGA